GGGTTATTTATAGTTGTTATTTGCTTTTAAAAATGTTATTTGCTATTAAGAGGTTTTAAAAATAAAAAAAGGTTATGATGTTGTATTCATTTGTGTTTTTATTGCCGTGCGAGATGGATGTAATTTTGGAAGAGCTTCAGCATAATAATGTCGACATAAATATGAAAACATTATCCCACTACATTACAAAATTAAACACGAGATACCGTGATTTATATGCTGAAATGAAGAATCGTATCAGTGTGTATCAGATATGTAATCTTTTCCATTTGATGGAAATTGATAGTTTCGGTTGTGCCATAGCGTATCTCACGCTGGTGTACGTGCTGCATCGCGAGGAGACAAAGTTTATGACGTGCAGAGCCGTGTATTTAGTGTCTCAATCTCTTCGGGGCATGGATTTGTAGAAGTTTAAGATTGGCATGGGATTTTTTGAGAAGCTGGTTGCTTCTATAAAAGGGGGGTTTCCGATATAAGATGCATGCACCTCGTTAAAGTGTCATTTTATCATTTTACGTGATGGATATACGGTTTAAAACGCCTGCGAATTTTTACATTTGCGGACAGAGTCAAAGTGGGAAGTCGTATCTGGTGCGTTCCATGTTAAGTTGTTTAGAGGAACTGTTTCATCCCGTTCCGACAAAGATCATATATTGTTACGGAGAATATCAGAAAGAGTTTGACGAATTAGAGATGAAGAACATTGAACTAGTCGAGGGCTTTCCGAACGATTTATATGCCTTAACAAACGGACACGAGAACTCTTTGGTGGTATTGGATGACATGATGTCCGATTGTTCCAACGATCAACGCGTATCGGACTTGTTTACACGCGGTTCGCATCATCGCGGCATATCTGTGTTGTACCTGACACAGAATTTATTTCCGCCCGGGAAATTATCACGCACAATCAGTTTGAACTCTCACTACATGCTGATATTTAAGAATCCGTGTGACTCGCTTGGGATTGCAACACTGGCCAAGCAAATGTTTCCAAAACATGTCAATTACCTTTTGGAGGCGTTTCACGATGCTACGAGTAAACCGTATGGGTATTTAATGATTGATTGTCATCAATTAACACCGGAACATATACGGCTTCGAACGAACATTCTTCCCGGGGAGAGACAAATTGTTTATGCAAAGCGATAAAGCGATTTAGATATATACTTGTTATATTTATTACAGTGTTCAGGTACAAGGAAAAGTGAATATCAATAAAGTGTTGTAATACTACTTTATGTTTTATGTTCTATGTATTACAGATGTTAATAAATCAAGGGTGTGTAATTAATTTCACTATATTTACAAGCTCGTGGTTTGTGCAATAATGTCGTCAGACATGGGTATATTTATTCCTTGTTCTATTTCACGAGCTTGGTTTCTTAAACAAACAAAATATAATTTAAACCTTAAACATATAATAAAAACGATTACTAACGAGATGACCAATGAGAAAATTATTATTGCGAGAGTTGATGTAGGTATGGAGGAATCGGGAGTTGATGCGGGAACGGGAATTGATGTTGGAATTGTCGTGGGAACAGGATTAACGGGAGTTGAAGTGGGATTAACGGGGGTTGAGGGAGTTGATGTGGGAACGTGATTTTATGTTCTATGTATTACAGATGTTAATAAATCAAGGGTGTGTAATTAATTTCACTATATTTACAAGCTCGTGGTTTGTGCAATAATGTCGTCAGACATGGGTATATTTATTCCTTGTTCTATTTCACGAGCTTGGTTTCTTAAACAAACAAAATATAATTTAAACCTTAAACATATAATAAAAATGATTACTAACAAGATGACCAATGAGAAAATTATTATTGCGAGAGTTGATGTAGGTATGGAGGAATCGGGAGTCGATGCGGGAACGGAAATTGATGTTGGAATTGTCGTGGGAACAGGATTAACGGGAGTTGAAGTGGGATTAACAGGGGTTGAGGGAGTTGATGTGGGAACGTGTTTTGAAGTTGGAAGGGGATTAACGCGGGTTGAGGGAGTTGATGTGGGAACGTGTTTTGAAGTTGGAATGGGATTAACGAGGGTTGAGGGAGTTGATGTGGGAACGTGTTTTGAAGTTGGAATGGGATTAACAGGGGTTGAGGGAGTTGATGTGGGAACGTGTTTTGAAGCGGGAATGGGATTAACGGGGGTTGAGGGAGTTGATGTGGGAACGTGATTTGAAGCGGGAATGGGATTAACGGGGGTTGAGGGAGTTGATGTGGGAACGTGATTTGAAGCGGGAATGGGATTAACGGGGGTTGAGGGAGTTGATGTGGGAACGTGTTTTGAAGCGGGAATGGGATTAATGGGGGTTGAGGGAGTTGATGTGGGAACGTGATTTGAAGCGGGAATGGGATTAACGGGGTTGAGGGAGTTGATGTGGGAACGTGTTTTGAAGCGGGAATGGGATTAACGGGGGTTGAGGGAGTTGATGTGGGAACGTGTTTTGAAGCGGGAATGGGATTAACGGGGGTTGAGGGAGTTGATGTGGGAACGTGTTTTGAAGCGGGAATGGAATTAACTGGGGTTGAGGAAGTTGATGTGGGAACGTGTTTTGAAGCGGGAATGGAATTAAAGGGGTTGAGGGAGTTGATCTAGGAACGGGATTTGAAGTGGGAACAGGATTAACGGGGATTGAAGTGGGAGTGGGATTAACGGGGGTTGATGTGGGAACGGGGTAAACAGGAATGGATGTTGAAATTGATGGATGAATTGATGTCGGAGTTGATGTGAACGGGATTAACGGGGACTGATGTGGGAGTTGATGTATATCTTGTTGAGGCGGTTAGTAATTTCGGTGTAAACGCAGACGTAAACGCGGAGGTAAATTGACAATCAGATACAACCACGAGTTTGGGCAAATAGAGATTACCACATATTCCAGGATTTCCACATATATTAACCCACTGCAAATTGGGGAAAATTGCCATCAGCAAATCAGTTCTTTTAATGTTGTTTCCCTGAAGATCGAGCAGCTTCACGGCGGGATTTTCGTCACCAATTGTCGGGATTTTGGTTAATCTACATTTTTTACAATCCAGTAGACCAAGTACTTTTATCCATTTGCAACAATTGTTGCCGTCAATGCCCCCCAGTATTGACGAAATCAGCGAGATATACCATAAAAAGCCCTTCATTGTTAAGCAAGAAACAACACCTGTATTCCTGAAATGTCGTATGTGAGTCATGGAATACCAAAGTATTCAATTTTGATTAGGTAGTGCAAAACGGAAATGTATGTGGAAACTGACATTGTAGTTGGGAATTACGATAAAGCACAAGCAAAAGTATTCAAGACTGTCTTTTATTTTCATTGATTAATTGTGTTACCAATTCCTGAGTACTCAATATAAGTGACATGTAGTACAAACAAATATCATTTCAACATGTCGAAGCGTGTGAAAGGAAGTCTTCCGTATCTGCAAGTGATTGTGAAATCCAAACCCAAGTTACGAAAATTGATTTTGGAACATTGTCCGAACGAAGTTATTTCCGCCATTTGTGAGTGTGCGTTGAATTTACTTAAAGGTGTTATTCCGTTAACACCGACTCAGAAACGTCGTTTATCGCATTATAAGGCACATCTCCGTGCGTTATCGAACAAAGGAGTATCGCATAAACGAAAGAGAAGATATCTCGTTCAAAAAGGCGGGGGCCTATTAACGGAACTTTTACCGGTGATTGTGCGGTTAGCAAAGACCTTGTTAGGTTAAGAAGATGAAACATGCGAAACGTATGGTGCTGGTTCCGGAGGATGTGTTGCAGCGTTACGAGCAAAGGCAAAGGTTTGAGACGTCGCCCCTCGTGTCGAGCATGATGCACGCGGATACGGAAATGTCCGATATTTTACAGCGATCGGATTTGCCTGCGAATGAAAAGCAGAAACTGTACGCATCGAATCTGTAACGATTATTGACTCTGAAGGAACAAAAGGATAGTCAAATACCCACGATTCGAATTGCACCGAAAAAAGAGAAGCCGAGTTTAACGACCGAAAAGATTGTCGAGCAAATACCGAAAACGATGCGCACAAGAGCTGCGGCGCTTGTAAGCAAATTGGAAGAAAGACCGGACGTGATTTCGTGGGATCAAGATGGACGTGTTAAGATCGAGGGGCAAACTATACCGAATTCGAATATATCGGATTTGGTGAGCAATGCGATGAGGGAAAGAAAACATTTTAATCCTGCGGGTTCCAGAGATTTCTTTCGTGTGATGAGAAATATGAATGTACCGAGGGATCTTGTACGCAACGAAGGAAAAAGGAGGCAAATGGACGCGCTTAATTTGCAGAATGTGGTTCCTACTCCGGCCGAGGGGGAGTCATTAACGGGTACTTATGATAATTATACAAGAGGAAAAGGTTTAAAAGCGAAGAAAGCAAAACCGGGACGTTGGCTTAAATATTGACTTTGTAAAATTGTGTTGTTTCTTAATAAAATGTTTTGAAAAAAATAAAGAAAAAAAAGTTTTTTAAACATTTATTGCTTGAACATTTGCACACAGCATTGATTAAGGCCTGAAGACGGCTGTTTTAACGTAACATTAAAATGATTTCTTACAAACTGCAACACTTTTGTGTCATTGAACGTAGTATTGTCCTGAAACAAATGCACGATTTTATTCATGCTCAAACCTCGTGCTCTATGATAAAGGTAAAATATACAATATTGTCCGCATACATCGGACCATGCACTTTGCAGTTTACGTGTATTGTGTTTAAACGTATACTGATTTAGAAAGTTCCCAAAAGGATAGTGTTCCGGAGATCGTCCATAACTGTTGAAGAATTCCTTTTCTTGCAATTCCGATGGAAAGTAAAAGGCCACCCAATGCGAACCAGGTTTATCGCTAGGATCCGTATTCGCCACGAATCCACACGGGTACTTTTCGATGGCTCGCGGTAATTGATCGCTTGCAAATACACCGCAAAATTGTTTTTTGGTGACGCGATTTTCTTGCAGGGCACGTTGTATTTGTGACGTATTCATTCAACCTGTGTAATCGTAGATGATGTTTCGGTCCGCGTCGATTTGGATTGTGTTTTCAAATTCAGCATAACACACCAGATTAACAGCAGCGGCCAGCCCGATGGTGAATGCTGCACTCGCGACCATCCCAACGATGAGCGATTTTGGCACCAGACCGTTGAAAATGTTATCTTTGTGCAGAGACGGATTTCCGCCGGGAATGATAAAACTTTTACAATCCACGCGACGAATGGGATAGATGGCGGGTCCCTTTTTGAGGGCAAGTTCGTGGGCGATGGTAATGTCCGGATTCACTTTAACTTTTCGTATCTTGAGATAAACGTCGGTGATGACCAGTTTAGAAGTATCATCCGCAGCGGCCATAATACAAAATTCTTTAGAATTTCGATTCAGAACGACTTTCAGATCGACATAACTCAAGAGAAGCCGTTCCGAGAAGAAGATATCGCTGAATATAGGACCCACCATTTCGATGGTTTTACTTTCCGCATTGAATCTGTATCGTGCTTTCAGGCCTAGGTTGACGTTGGCGTTGTTGTCTGCCAGAGTGGGGTTGTGGGAGTTCATTCTACCCGCGGTATCTTTGTAAAACAGGGCCGAAGTGAGTTGCGAATTTTTGGCAGCGGGACCGTAATTGAGCAGGGTTTCGATGTACGCTCGATAGGCATACATGCCCGCAGCTTGAGTGACTTGTTTTTCTTTCAGGAAAACGTCCACTTGTTTGAATAAACTGTGCAGGAGATTATTGACGACTCCCACCTGTGCATCATTGCCGAGATTTCCACCATCGGCAGTGGTCACTTTCGCCCTCACTACGGGCATCGTTCTGGCCAGATCAATGTAGTCTTCGGTACCCGGGCACATGAACGTAATGGGTCCACCGTCCGCCACGCTGGACACGGGTTGATGATCGATCCATAGTCCTTTCTCAAGGCTAGTTTGCATGGGAGGCACGGAAAATAAATCCAATTAACATTTGGTGCATTCTTGCGAAAACGGGTGCACAAAGTTCATCATATTTAACCAAATATATTGAGAGGTGTTCTTCGTTTCTTAGTCGAACGAATTATGCCGGTAGATGATGCCCTTTTCTTTTTAGATGTTCTACGGCTTTTATTGGTCGTTTTATTAGACTTTCGTTTCGTGGTTGTTCTTCGTTTTTTCGTGGCTGTTTTTCGTTTTTTCATGGGCCGTTTTCGACTCGTCGATCGTTTTCGACTCATGGACCGTTTACGTTTTTTACCACGTCCTGTTTGAGCAAACGTCTTAAAACGATCAATGGCTTGCCCTTTTGCGGTACCTAAGGCTTCCTTTCCTCGCGCTTTCACTGCACTTTTGATGTCTTTCCCAGCCATAACATCACTCAGCACGTTTGCACCAGCATTCAAGGCAATTTTTCCAAGGGATTTCCCCGCCTTTTTCACTAAGGGTGAGGCTAATCTTCCAAGACTACGAAACAGACCACCCAAACCATAACCCATTTGGCCATGACCCAATTGCCAGGCGGCGCCGTGAAAAACGGGCATGCCGTGCCCGCGTTGTTGATCTGCGTAATATTGTACGTATGCGTCTTTCATGATTTAAAAAAACCCGTGACGTTTAAAGTGTAGTGTCACTACCACGTTCCCGTACTCGAATGGAATAGGTTTGCCCGTGTCCGTCCTTAAAAGTATTTCCACGTCTTCAAAGGCCTTCTTTTGCACCGGTACGTATTGAATGTTTGTGAATGTGTTACTAATGATGTCTCCATGTTTTCCTCCCACCGGAACGGTGCGAAGTAAGGGTGCGTTTGTGTCACCCACGACTTGTTGTTGCACAATATCGCAATACACGTAAATGGTTGTGAAAGGAATTATGCTTGCCGCATGTGGACTTTCTTCTGTCTTTTTGATGATACGGTCCATTCCAGCATATCCCAAAATATCACGTATCAAATCGGTGTAATAGATGGTGCATTTTGGCTTTAAGTGGCTTGTTATTTTTCCGCTGTGAGCATTGTAACTTAAGTAAATACTGGTATCGTTACCAATCTCGTCTTTTAAGCCCTTATTTATACTTTTGACAAGGTCCTCCATTGTTTCATGATATCCATATTGTAGAGTTACTCCCGTTTGAAAACTACCATCACCAAGATCGAAATATATGCTACGAATAGCCGACCATTCATTTGGTATGGTGTACCATGTGTGTGGATGTGATACGGAATATAGACCAACCTCCCAATAATTATCCAAATCAATAGTTTCGGGTAATTTTACGCGATAACCGGTTGTTTTGTTATCGGGAAAAATATCCAAGGACGCATTGCTCGGCAATGTGATATAAAAATGTTCCCCTCTGCTCATGATGAGAATCAAAGTATAAATAAAAGGCATGTGACGTAAACATGTATTTAAATCCTTTTCATGTCGGTCGCAGATACCCACGAGTTAAAATTTGGCCGAGTACCCTAACCATTTCACAAAGTACTGTACATTTTCGCCTTGTCCGCGTTTTTTCAATATTTCTTCCACCTGATAAACATCGTCCTGTTTAACGACTTTTTGCAATTCCATTTCGTAAAACGTCCCTTTCAGTTCTTCTCCGTCGTAGTCTTTGAGTTTATACACGGGCGGCGTGCGTGGTATTTGTTTGCTGATGGTGAAAATCTCTTTGGTGAAATTAAGCAAGTACCCCTTTTCAAAGGTGCGTTTGGTTTTGCTAATTCTGACTTGATCGCCAACGTTAAATTTATACTTGACATGTCTCACTTCCTGATGATCGTCGTACAAGGTGTGCCACACTTCCTTTTCGTTTTCGACAGTAACATCGGCGGGTCTTGTTTTAATACTGCGATGGACGCTGTGATTGTAAGCGTGGACTAAATCCGGTAATACATCAATTTAACGGTGGGTGTTATTGGCCGTGAGGTATCGCCACATTTTCGTTTTTAAGGTACGAATGAAACATTCCACGACGGAAGCCTTGGTTTCGTTGTACGTATTGTAGAGATGAATGTGTTCTTTTTTCATCAACGCTTGAAAATGTCTGTTGAAAAATTCGGTGCCTTGATCCGTTTGGATCTGTTGGGTTTTCTTCCGTAAGCTAGAATAGTGTTGAAGGCTTCTACGAGTGCGGGTCCCGTTTTATTCTTCAAGGGTACGACCCATGCATACTTGGAGAAAACGTCAAAACAAACAAGCAAGTATCAATAACCGTCATTCGATTTTTGCATGGACTGTAAATCTCCGAGATCCATCTGCCATAATTCGTCCAAACCCCCCGTGATCACCCGATTCCTCTTAAAGTGGCGGCGCACAGGTTTGTGCAACGTGTACGCATCTTGCCCCATCAACCATTCTTTAATCTGTTTGCGACTTATGGCGTACTTTCCCTCCTTTTTCACGTCATTGTATAATCGATCTACACCGCCAAATCCACCCGAACGTTTTGGGTCGTAATACACTTTTGATAAGTATTCGTTCATGTTTTAGGTTCTGTTGTCGCGCATGTAATACACGAACATTGCAAATCACAATGTATTTTATTCCTCACAAACGCTTTGAATACTGTCTACGTGTTCGATATCAGTTAATTTATCATTCTCGACAAGTTTATTATCATTTTCAATGAGCGAGTAGTTTTTGACGGTTTTACTACAAAACCCCATTTGGAAATGCCCCTCAAGATTAAGATCGTTGCGACCAACACTTATACCTACTCTAAACATTTTTTGTTTATTATGATTTTTATTCATTTTTTTGCTGTTGGAATGACCCATGTTTACTTGTCGCCTCTCTTATGCAATTGAATTGAGTTTGATGATGACATGTGATTTTAAAAGCATTGCTGTGAAAAAGAAGTTGTCAGTGTTATTTGGTATTCATGGAGTGAGGATGTGCTAATCCCATACCGAGTAGGGCGCTTGCGTAACTGTTTGTTTGCGAGAAAGGTATCGCTGCAGGGCTTAGTACGGTCAAGAGACCGGGGTTGAGACGCAGAACAACCTGTATATTGGATTAGCACATTAAGGGGAGAAAAAAGGGTGATGGATATCGATAATAAAGAGTTAGTTCTTCATCATCGTCGAAAGTGCATCGAGAAGAAACTATTGGAAAGTTACGCTACCGAGATAGCGCCTATCATATCCCAACTCCTGATCGAGGAATGTAATGGATGTCTCCACGATTTGCATTCTCAAAGACAACATCAATGTTTGATGATGGAAAAAGACGAGCAATTATGTACTTATTTTGATAAAGCTCAGGCACAAATATGCGAAGCAAGGGTCACGCACGCATTTACCCAATGTCTCAGTGATATTAAACCTCGTGTTAGTGCGTTTGAAATGCATAAGTACAAACGCATCGATTGGAGAAACACGTTCCGTACCGATCACAGGCAAGAATTAAAGCGAAGAGTGTTTTATTTGCTGTAAAAAATGAAAGTAGTTGACTTGACCTTTTATTGGGGAAAAGATGTCGTGCACCCAATTATCTACATGACCTTGTCCAGCTTTGAAAACAAAATCTTATTCACGCTGGTAGAAGACGAAAACGAATGGAAGATTGTTTTTGATGAAAGACAAACATTTACAAATAAAACGTTTGTTCGAAAATTATGGTGCGCATGCATAGATCACGGATACGTTGATATCAAAAATGAGATTTTTAAGCGTTATGTCAATAAAGTAAAAATTCATGTACTAGGTGACTGAAGACAGCAAGCGGACGTCTGGTAAACATTCATGTATGATAAGCAATAAAATTTGTAAACGTTCATCAGTTGATTCTGGCTCTTAAAAAGCATTCAACATGTTGGGGTTCTTGACATTATGAACGTTTTTTGTCCATAAAATAACGATAAACATACAAAATTTAAAGACATTTTGACAGTTTTTATAAATTAATTCTATGAATAGGCACGCATGTTGTATTGGCAAATAATATTGAATGCGTTAGTCTGCTTACAGCCATGTTGGGGTAGGAAGTCTCTTTTATTATTTTATGATCTCTAATTAGTCACGGAGATGATCAATTTCTAAAAATATCGTTTCTCGTAACATGTCAATCAAAAATTACTACAGGCCTTTCCTGCCGCTACAAAGCTATAATCAGACAATGTTACATATCGAGCGTTTCAACCACAAAACCAAATATCAAATACTGTTATATAAGAACACCAACTATAATTCAGTTTCACTAGAAAACAACACACTTTCACTACCGGACGACGAAGACATAGAAACAACATACATTGGAATTGCATTGGATGGGGAATTACGGGACCGATGACAACGACGACGAATATAATAACAACAGACCATGGACAATACGACGAAGAACGCAACAACTGGTAGAACAAACACCAAAATCCTCGAATTCTCCTCCACCCTTCCTGAATTCAGAGGGGTACTACTCGAGGATGTTAAATTCCCTGTCAAGTCGAGCACCATCAACGTTGTTGTTGTTATTGTTGTGAAGGGCGGCCTATCACACCGACTCAAGATTTTCACATCAGGAGGCCGCCTCATCACGTCACAACTCAGGGGGTTTCCCTGGAGATCCAACTTCTTTAGATTTGGGTAGCTCTCCAGGATTTTGGTGGCATTAAAGAACCCATTCTATTGTCTTCGAGCAACAAGTATCTAACCCATGCGCCGTCCTTAATATAAGGAACGGCGCTGAGATTTCGCCTCGCACAGTCTAAGACTGATACTCGGCGGCGTTCCAAACAGCCGTCCTCTGCCCATGCGAAACTCAACAATGACAACAGTTGAAGCAGGTAAAACATTTTCAATTTTCTCTAATACGCCTATTTATTACGATGCGTCACGATGTTTAGTGTTCAATGTAGAAAATTATGTTAGCTCACGTGTTACTTTTTAATTATATAGGAGCGAACAATTCCCGCTTGTTACTCATAACAAACGGACGCTCGACATACGAAGATGTCTTGGAGGAATATTATCGGTAACTGGTTTTCGGCAAATCAGAAAGATTTCATGGATCTAATCTACTATCTCGTACATGCAAAAGTAATACCGCCGACAATTATTGAAAATCAAACGCTTCATTGCATTTTATTAATGCAAATCATGCTACAAACGTTGACGGAATTAACAGTTCCGCCAGCACCTCAAGCAATGAGTAATTTCTCTGATCATGCAAACGCTAAGGAAACGATGTTGTGGGGTCTACAAAAGAAGATCAACGACGGGATAAAATCCTTGGAAAAACAAACGGGTGTGAACTTAGAACACTATCATAAATTAAACATTGACAATTGAACGTTTCATATTTTGTATTTAACATTTCAAAGAATACATGTAATAATCTCCTTAAGGATCTGTTCAATAAACTATTTCATATTTTGTATTTAACATTTCAAAGAATACATGTAATAATCTCCTTAAGCATCTGTTCAATAAACTATTTTAAAAACCATAAGGTAATGTTTTATAATTGTCCACAATCACGCGTTTGTTGTACACGATGCGATAATCTTTTTTCATGCGTTTGGTCTTAATAGTACGCTCCCTCGCATTCCGTACAATTTTGAATGGAATGTCAACTGTTACCTTGTCGCGTATCCCACACACCGCATGAAGATGAACCAGTTGTTGTATCACTTCAAAATTTATTTTTTGCCTTGCCGTACAATCCAGGGTAATTCCTCGTATCTTTGTCTCGATCTTGTTCGTACTGGTACGATATGAACGTCGTAATATGCTCTCCTTTCAATTCGTCTGTCAATTCACTGAGGTATGGACCCAACGAAGGTTCAAGTGCATCAGGTTTGCTTACGAATATCACCGAATCCGTGTCGTAATACAAGGCTCGTTCTTGTAACATGTCCAACAGATCGTACAATTTGAGCGGTCGTAAAGGCGGCGATGACGACGTTGGTCCTAGAATTCGGGGCATCTCGTCCGAGCTCAAGTAATCATAATACACTTGCGGATCCTTGATCAATTCCGTTTTAGTCATGTTGGTTCGTTGCGCGAATTTGCCTAGAACAAGAAACACTTTATAAGTGCATGTCACTCTATACTTTTTTAACAAATTCTCATGTACCACTCACCCCAAAACGAGTTTAACATCAACTTTGCCAGCGCACGCAAACCAGGGTTGTACTCGATTTTACCAGGATCCAATTGAATTCCTTGATGTTCCAAGTACTCTGCGACGTATCGTTGTTTCTGCTCTTCCGTCACACACTCCTTGGGATACCCACTTGCCTCTTGCTTAATCTTTAGGAACGTGTAGATGTAGTCCTTGAACAATTCGTCTGAGGTCTCGGACCAATGCCATACTTCGTGCAGCTGCAGGATACGGTACCCTTTCTCCAACGCTTTTTGCAATTCCACGTGGCACCACGTTCCACGAATCGCTCTTTCGTCGTCGGTATGGGCACAAGGAGTCTGCTGACACGTGTCTGCACACGTCTTGCACAAGGGAAACATCAACTTGTCTTGGGTACGGTAAGAAAGAACGGGATGGAAAAGACCCCGCGGTGGAAGCACGGTGCATTTAATCAAGCCAAAGTAATTGGAGACGTCTTGATCGAAATTCTCCCTAATGATTCGAGGATGGCCAACAACCGTTCGCATCATCGCATTACAAAAAGGATATAATGAAGTGTAATCTAAATATCTGTAGGAAAGAACAATTAGGTTTCACTCTACACGGGAACATCATCTTATGCTTTTTTACCATTACCTGATCTTCTCATCTTCTTCACATTTGTGGAATAATTGGGCGGCGTTGGTTCTACCACCAAAGAAGGCGTCGCGAGGTTGCAAAGGGTCAATCACTTCGTAATGATCAAAGTACCGTTTCATCTCTTCATTACGTCCCAATTCTCGTTTGATATCGCATTCCCATTCCTGAACCACGGTGTACCCCTTGTTCTCAAGGTAGTTGACTTTCTCCACCGTGGCCTGATGCAAATCGTGCATCGATTTTCCATTCACGGGATTGACGGTATCTCGGGCATAACACTTCAAACATCCTACAATTAAAAAACGTTCTCATAGAATTGACCCGGTCAAAAACGTGTCCTAATAAGGTTATCCCTCATCTTACCGTGCCAAAAGCATCCATGAATCTCGTAAGCCGTACTCGTTTCCAGGTCGTAACCGTCCAACAAATACTTATCCACACGTTTCTCGCCAGCATTACGAGCATGCTGGATGTATGCCTCATTCTTTTCGGAGTAATAGGGTAACCATTTCAAGGCCAGAATGGAATGTTTGTCTTTGGGATGATAGCCGTGTGGTGGAATGATGGCAATCGTGTCTTCCTTGAGGAAATTGGTTCGGTACACAAGATTACACGCGGATGCAATGGTCAAACACTGGTCGAACGGATCAATGTTCGTTATACTACGGAACAGTTTGCGAAATTCGAGACAACTTCAACGAAGAATGTCGACATCCGATCAACAGTATGCCACTATCTCTCGTTGAAAATCAAACACGTAATTATTCTCTTTCAGGTTGTTGTGCCATGTCATAAATGCTTTCTCGCCGTCCGGACTCATACCGTCGGGATTGTTGTAGGAACTGGGAAGTATAGGGCCGATGTAGTGCTCGTTTTCTTTCTTGTTGAAGAAATGTGGGAAATACCCTTTTGCCAGTTCGTTCAGGCCAAAGGTTTTCGGAAAAGCAGCAAGCGGCATCGGTAAAAAGTTCAACGAATCGATGAATTTCATGTTGAAGACGGGAACCTCTAACGTGAGTATCTTTGCCCCACGCGTAATCACTTCAGGAACGATACCGTTCTTGTGCAGGTACTTTTGAATAAAGTATCCATCATAACCCTGGAAATTATGCGCCATCACGATACAGTTTGCGTGTTCGTTCGTAAAGAGCCACTCGCAAAACTCGTCTCTCGTCTTATCTCCTTGAAATACCCATTCGTCCCCCGCCTCGTTGTGTACGATACACAAATTGGGTTCATGCGTCTCGTTTTCTTGACGGCATTCGAAATCGAAAAAGAGGAGTTGATTGTATGCACTCTCAGATGAATCGTTATCATCATCGGCATCGAGCAAACCCGTATCGTCGTCGTCCTCTTTACTCGATCTCTTCACAGGTTGCATGTAACATTGATGATCTTCAGGGGGCACGTACAATCGACACGTCGAGCACCGCATCTTGCCGCAGTGATGGTTCTCTAACTTACCCCGTGTAACAACAAGCCTACAATGAAGACATTTCACCAAAGACTCACAAATCGATCTCGCGTCTCCTATATTTTGTTTATGCCTATCGAAACATGCCTGACTTTTGAAAAGACGCATACAGCTCGCACACAGAAGCCACAACACAATAGGGCAAGTTTGAGAATAACACAATTTACACGCCCCAGGACAACAATGATCGAAATTCTTATCGTACCCTTTTTTACACGTATGACAATACTTTTTGCGAGCAAGAAAAGCCGGCATGCTCATAATCAAATCGTAATGGTTGTCGTGCAAAACAATAAATGATTTTCTCCTTATCCGGATCCGAATATATGACGGCATCTTGATGGTTTTTGGAAATAATGTTGATCTGATACTCAGATAAATACACTTGAAATTGTTTTACTTCTTCCAAACCGCACGGTCCTAGCGAAACATTGGCCTTTCGATGTAATTCACCTGCTAAACGCGTTTGCAACGGTCGGCGACTGTCCACGACACTCTTAAACCTATCGTTTTCAATTCTCGCAATCGAAACAACCAAAGCTCGTGCCAAACAGAGATCATCCTCGTTTTGTATACGAATTATCGAGCGTTTTTTGGTCAAATGTTTTTCCAAATTAATTTCAGAACGTTTTGAACCCGTGCCACCGTTTGGCATTTCAACATGAATTAAATTGATCGTCACCGTATCGTTAAAGCGAAAATCCTCATTGGATTGTAAAACACGTTCAACATGAGACAAAATACGCTCAGTGGTAAGATGAGAAAGAGGCATGAAAGGAAGAGAAATGGGGTTTTCGAGTTGAGGCGAATGCATCACAAAACGGACCTGATCGTGCTCGGGAATGTCACTTGTAATCGCCTGCAATAGTCTTTCGAATATTTCATGAAGCCGATTATGATACTCGGACAATTCAAAATCGGCAAGCGTGTTCGTGAATCGTATGATGTAATCAATTCCCGTGGTCTTAAACTTTTTGACCTTCACTTGCTTCGTGCCCTCTACAGTAAAATAACGATTCTCGCTAACCTGTTCGGACGTACTCGCACCGTCGTTTACCTCATCATTCGTTCTTTTTTCTCCACGGCCATGCTGCTGTTGTCGTGTCGACAGTTCGTCTCGATTCACCTCAATATCCTTGCACGCTTGCCATAGCCATTCATCATCGTTCCAATCATTTAAAAACTCTTGAATTCGTTCAAAAGTCCATGAATCCATAAGATTCGCCGTCAACTCTTGTCGTTCGGACATTACAATCTCGATCTTTCTCTCGCATACTAAACGTTGCTCATGCTCGTTCAAAACATATAAATTCTCCAATGCTATTAACTCGTCCACGGTTTGACATTCGATAATTTTTCGTACAATATCCATCCTCACAATCCTAAGCGTTTTTACTCGTAAAATGAACACAAAGTAAAACAATACTCACATTTTATAGATTTTGCCCACGGACGCACACGCCATCGCGTGGTAATCACGCCCATTAAACAAGCGTGGAAACGCATAGTTAATTTTCGCGCCTTTTTCAATTGAAAGGCCTCTTCACAATTGAAAGCATAAGCAAAAGTTGAACTAAATCACATTTTTTACATCCTACGAGAGAAGCAAAAAAAGAATGAACACAAAACCGACATATAAAGAGCGGGAGGCCTTAAGAAGCAAACGGAACAGAAAAAGGAAAGAGGTCCATCCATCATCGTTGAATTTGAAAGAGAAAAGACAGAAAGAGAGCAGCGACGACATGGGAAATTATAGCGCCGCTGTGGCAAATAATGCACAAGAACCCGTCGCGCCCGCGCCCGAAAGCCTGGACGACAGCCTTTTTCTAGAAGGACTATTAAACAATATAGACACCCCATTACTTGCCGGGGAATTGCTCGAGGAGCTTTCTTTTATCGACGAATTCCTCGATGAGATAAACAATTGACACAAAAATTTAATTTGAACAATATATTTTTTCCTTTGTTAATATATATAAATTGAAATTGTAATGTTAATATATATGAATTGAAATTGTAATGTTAATAGTAATGAGAAATGTACATATAAACAACTTTTTTAAAAAATGTCAATAATATTGTTCCCTTTTATCGCTTTCGCTGAACTTTGCATTTTGTCTCTGAACGTCTGTTTTTATACCAATTCGTCACCTCCTCTCTCGTCAACTTCAATTGCACGGCCAAACGATTTCGTGTCACTTCCAATACACAAATAACCACAAACACTGCCCAAAAGTGGAAATTGAAGCGTACGGTTTCTGGTTAGAAAAAAACTTTGCATTGAACAACAAATCAAACATTTAAACTAGTTAGAAACGTTTTGCTTACCTTTTATGAACACTTGTTCACAAAACAACTTTCATTGAAGGACGTACAACCGAAATCTTTGTCTCTCGCCACAATTTATTCGAAGATGGTATGGAGGAAATATTAGAAGATGCCACGGAGACCAGTGACCGGAGTTTTCCGTTAGAAGTCACATTTACCGGGGAAAATGCTCGCGATTTTGGAGGACCGCGACGAGAATTTTTATCTTTAATGCTAAGGGCCATTAAAGAAAAATTATGCGTGGAAGAGACTGGGGAAGAAGGAGGTGGATTTGTTTTCCACGAAAACTTAACAGCTCAAACCAATCGGTTTTATACAGGAGCTGGCATTATTTTTGGTATGTAATTTAACTTGCATATATTGTGACCAATCCATACATCATTATAACATTGTTTTATTACTAATTTATGTACATTTCATTATAGGTTACAGTTTACTTCAAGGAGGTCCACTACCTTGCTTTCTATCAGAAAAACAATTGAAGGCATTGTTTTTAACAAATGCAGATAGAAAAGCCATTGAACAACAATTTTTGGAGGGGTTAACAACTTTCGGCTTAACACAGGTTAGTAATATTTATTTGGTGACACTTAATGAGAATGTAGCTATGTAAATCGGTCGTTGATCCACAATGTACTAACCAATTTGTTACATTTTATAGTTGATACAGAGACGACCTGAAATGTTGTCTCTTCTGCGGTCATCTGCAAACATGCCACCGACGTATCCAAAATTGGCTAAATTGTTGAAACCTACGCTTAGTGAACCGGGATCGAACAGAAGGGTACAAAAGGACAAATCCTACAGATATTTTTTAAAATATCTAAAGGAAGTTGCAGGTATGGTAAAATTCTAATTCCATTCTTTACAATTCCTTTGGAATAAAGGTCTGTTCAAATGATCCAATTTTGCCGCGTTATATTTTTGCTTTACTCTGAATAAAATTCGAACAAGCGGCCCCGTTGCACCACTGGAATTGAGCCGTCAATCGAGTTCATCATTGCAGATTCCCCATTTCCTATTGCAAACACGTGCATAAACAAACTGAGTTTGGTAATAGGTGAAACATTGCCAACGGACCAAGAAAGAATGTTTGAAATTTTTTACTTAGCCTTTGCTAATACGCATTTTGGCCTGGTGTGATGAACCATAGTTTATATAACCTATTCAGGTTAAAGGCAAAATAGCTTTTCTGAGTTTGTTTACAGTTCAATGTTCTATTCAGCCTCGTCATTGTTGACTAAAGTCTGTAAAGTTCGTACAGCATGCAAGTATGGTTGCATGCTCCACATGTCATCCTGCTGTATCGCTTGCGTATTTTGCCTGAATATTGCTAATGTCGCCTCGTCCAAAGGACACATCGTTTCCGGGACAACTACACCGTCAGGTTGATCTGTTTCGTCTGGAAGCGCTCCTTCAGTATCAAACCCATAAGATATAATTTCTCTCTATAACGAAAAAAGACGGATTCAATCGTCACAGATTCCATGCTGAAAAATTGTTGCATATACAAATGTTTGACCTTTTATGTTCACGCAATAATGCATAATTTGCTTGGGGTTTTTGGAGTGTTAGCATAAACATTTGGAAGACATTCCATATTGCTAACCAATACATTTTTCACGGTATATCTTGGGTTTAGTGTTAATAACTGCTGTATGCTATCATTGCATTTCATTTCACGTACATTGTTTATATCTTGGCACGTTGTTACATCATATCTGTATACTTATATACATGGCTAAAAACCTTATCCTTTCTAAGATTATATTCCTGAAAGTTTCTTCGAATATCAGCCATGACTATGACTGTATTTTATTATTCACGTCAAGTGATTTGTTAAGTTATATTATTCCTCACCTCGTTTAAATTCTCGAAATATTCATTTGGTATCACACTATCCTCCCTTCCAATTTGTTGCATTCCCATAATGAACAGTTGAAGTGGTGTCTTGTTTCCAGCTGTTCGCAATTTATGGTTAATCCAAGAGTCACAAAATTTACCCAACATTATGTTAATGAGGGGCTTATACAATTCATGAAGACAAAACAAGTGATCTTCATTATCTGGATCCAAAATGCCATCTGCCTCCATACTCATAAAAAGGTCGTAGAAAACTGAGAGAACAGTCTGATAAACACCTCGCCAAAGCCTTTCTATCCGGGAATTGTGCACACTTCGGCCTGTTTCGATTTTGAATTCAAAAAAATAAGAAAGTGGAAGCACGGGGACGTGCAAGAAAACATTCGAAAGAACACGGGACATTTTTGAAAAGGGTCTTCAAACATTATACTATAAATATGTGAAACTAATCCATTTTTTCTGCTCAACGGAACTACAGCTAGGAAAGGCTCACGAAAATTGTGAGTAACTGATTTATTCATTCAAAGTTTACATATATATCATGTATTTATCAAGTAATTGGGGATGTATTTTTGTTGTAGTTGACTTCATTATTTATTCATCTGTGTAATGTCTTCATGATGGCACAAGAATAAAAATAAGTACAAAAAATAAGTGGCCTAAATCCTCTGGGAAGTCCAATAAGGTAGTGCTTCGAATCGAAAGTGCGAAACACGGCCTGTAATGTAGCTTCCTCGTCCAGGTCCTCTAGCCTGATGGGCAAAGCATGA